GGGGGTGGTTGTTGAGAGGGGGAATTTGGGGGGGGGGGGGGGGATGGTGCTGGTGGCTGCTCTCCATTTATATTCTCCGGGTTTTATGTAATGGATGAACTAGATCTATTTTGTGAATGGACTCTTTCTGATACAGAACTTGTAGGATATGTGTTTTGTTACGGGGAGGAGACTCTTATCTTGGTCTTGTTGTGGCTTCTGACTGCTTGGAACTTGAATATATACATGCTCGCGCAGCGGGGGTGGAGATAATCGGATTCCTTCATCTGTAGTTTGGCAGGAGGGAACAACATTGAAGTTCGCTTGTCCCAGAAAGCTGTAATCGGTGTTGCCTCTGGAACAGCATCTTGTTACTATCTTGGTTGTTGGCCGCCAAGAAGGGTCCTAAAATAAGAGTTGGAGCTGGGCGAGGGGACGAGGAAGGGTCAGGGTGGAAAGCGACATGGACTCCGGGCTGCAGAACACAAGAAAAAGGCTAGGTATGGCTAGATTCAATCTTCATTCTAGAAATTTCAATTCAATGCAAGTATGTTATTATAGATCAATAAAGAAAGGGACAATTCCTCTGCGTTGTCCCAGATAAGAATAATGCCTAACAGGGGGAGGCGACGCACTTCCCGAACAGCTGCTGATTTTATATACAACTTATACATCGAACCATTCATTTTCTACAGAAACTCTTAAGTCGATGACAATCACAAGCAAGACTATATGATTATCTGATCTGTGGAAAAGGTGCTTTATAAAGCCTTACTTGCTTACTTGTACGTGTGCTTGCTTGCAGAGGTGTTGCGAGAGGCCCTACTTACTCACTTGTGCATATACTGCGAAAGGCCTTACTCACATTCTGGAAGAGGCCTTTCTTGCTGGCTTGTACATATACTTGCTTGCAGAGGTGCTGCAAAGGCTTTATTCATAGCGCAGCTGATCACTCGTCCCCCGATGGCCAGTTCGTAAGGCTCAGCACATACGTGCTTCGCTATTAACATGCTTCGCAATCACAGAAAAGCTCGCATCACCAGTATCCATAATAAGAACACAATTCACTGTATATCACAGCACTATTCCAGATAGACATCATATAGTACATCAACATGTAGACAGAAAACGACAGCAGTCAGCCAGTGGCATTAAACGCCAGGCAGCTGGGAACACAATGGTATCGAGAAACCAATATTCTATCAACATGAAAACCACGAAAAGGGTATAAAGCAAAGAGAGTCTAGGGTCATCGCAGTAAAGGGCAAGGCTTGAGCGACGAACAGTGAAAACCATAAGGCGAGGGTCCCTCTCGAGTAAGGAAAACTAGAAATTATGGATATTGGCTGGAATCACGTCCATCAATGTACTTATAATCATATCATCATCAATTTGGTGGTGCGTCGTTCAGGGAATCGTCGAGAGCTGGGAAGGGCTCCAATGGCTCCATATGGCCCGTCCCCAGGCCCTGGAGGACGCAGCATTGGGATGGGCATGGGAGGAGCTTGGCTGGCAGAGGAGCCAGGACGAGGGCCAGGAGGCGGTCGGCCTCGACCGCGACCACCGTACCCCGGAGGTGGTCCATAGCCACGACCACCAGGGGGTCCCATCGGAGACATGGGCATGGGCGAGCGAGGGGGCCGAGGGGGAGCCATCGATGCAGCCGCTGCTTGTCGAGCATCGCGCTCGCAGTAAACCTGACCATACCACTCAAAATAGTCCCCGTTCAGAGCAATGCCGCATGTGCGGCATTTGAGGCACTCGGGATGGAACTTCTGACGGTCGCCCGGACCGCGGCCGCGACGTTCGTCCGTCTCGAGATATTGCCCCTCAATACCAGTGTGACATGTAGCGCAGATGGAGCCGTTGCGTTCATGGTAATGCTGAGCGCAGAAAGGTCGGTCCTCAAGGACATAGAAATCCGCAGTCTGGAAAGGGGTCTTGCACTGAAAGCAGACAAAGCAGGCACGGTGGTACCGGCCGGTGAGACGGCCGTCGGCCGAGGACACGGACTTGCCCAAGATCATCTCACCGCAACCGCGACAAGGCCCCTTCGGGCGTGGGGACGGGCGAGGGGCCGGGGCCGGGGATGGGGCGGGTGCCGTCACAGAGCGGAGCATAGTGGGTCGCTCGGGCTGATGATCGTCTGCTTTTCGTGGCAGTTTCTCCGACACGAGCGATAAGCTCCCCTGAGAGATGGCTGGGTCAGTCGGCGAATCCGGGCTGAATAGGTGCTCCGTAATGCGAGGAGGCTCGAGATCAATCGGACTTTCCGTGACAGGCTCGTCCAGCAAGGGTTCCTTCGCGCGCGGGCCACCCTTGAGCTCTTCTACCACCGAGCCGAGGCGGCTGGGGTCCGAAGGTTGCCTCCGCGAAAGACTGGCGTCGGACGGTAGACTAGAGAAGGAAGTGCCGCTGCGAGTGTCAGATGGCGATGAATCCGACGACGTGATTGAGCTCTCGGCGGCATGATCCGGAACATCGAGCCCCAGAGCCCGGGCGAAGTTGGAAACTGAGATGTTGCTCTCGCTTGCGGAATCGAAATCTTTCCTTTGCTTGTTGCCTTCTTCTGGAGTACTTGCGGATTCAGCATCGGCCGGCTGCAGGTGTTCCGAAGTTACTGGTTTGAAAGCCTTGTACTCCACGCTGGACGGGGCGGCAGGAGACGCTGCTGGCTCGTCTGGAAGCTCGAAATCAACGGGGGCCTCATTCGGACTCGGGGTAGGACTTTGGAAGAACAGCTCCGCGGACCCGCGGTTACTACTCAGTCTGTCAGAGCTACGATTTGTGTGAGACGATACTCGAAGCGACCCGGCCCCAACATGATCGATCTCAGCCTTAGCACTCGTTGGCCGGGCTGACACGCCGAAATCAAATCCACTGTAGATTTCACCTCGTCCTTCCAACTTCTCGGCAAGCTCGGCTCCTGAGAGTCGTGCTGGAAGTAGCAGATTCTGAGGTGCTGGGGGCGGCACCGGGGGTGCCTCTTCGTCAATAAATTGTAGGTGTTCGCGGGACACACTGCCAAACGAGGGGCGGTGGCTGGACATGGAGGCCGATCGTTTGGAGGCCCGATGGTCGCTGTACCGCGTGCTAGCCACCGAGGTTCGATAGCTGCTTTTGCTATCAATCGATGCACCATATCTGTGGGAGGCGCCGGGGAGAGGAGGGCCGTCTTTGGGTAGTGGAGGAGGTGGTATTTCGTTATCTGCCGGCAGTTCAACGGGTGCGTTCTGACCATCCCGACTCAAGCTGCTGGCATGACGTGCTGGCTGGAGAGGAGCAACCCTTCCTGCTCCCATGGCGTCTGGACCGACGTTTGGACGTCTATCCGACATCGATCGGGGCAGAGGAAACGAGGCAAATGC